TGCATACGTGAATTTTCGAATCCATAGCACGCTGCTTAGTTCCGTGCGACTACAATACACAAAACAGTCGCGTGCTTTGGCCATCCTGATTTTAAGTAGAAAGCGAAAAAAATATATTAAGGGCTGTTAAACCAGGGATTTGTGTAAAAATAGTTTTTTTTCATATCAACTGTTCTTATGGCTTGATAAATATTTGAGCAACTCTTAGTGAAAAAATTACACTTATATATCTTGACTTGAATGTGTAGATGACAAGCATTTTATTGACATTTTGATGTAGATTCTTTATTTGTAAGTAACAGTCGTCATTAAACTGCCCTCACACATACCTCGCGACCTTACTGCGTCCTTACTGCGACCTTGCTACGACCCAGGACGCAGCACAGTCGCCATGGACGCAGCAGGGACGCAGCGAGGTCGTAGCGAGGAACCCAAGGACGCACAAGGTCGCAGACCGTCGGCGACTATTTTGAACATGCACAAAACAGTCGCAGAAACTCTGCGTTCTTGCTGAGTCCTGGTTAGGTCTCAAGAACGTAGTAGGGTCGTCGTACAGTCGCAGGACAGTCGCCGGACAAACGCAATAGTCGTCATAGAGTCGCCGTAAGGACGCAGAGAACATAGCACAGTCGCAGCTGGGTCGCCGATGATCGCCGTGGGATCGCCTTGGGGACGCAATACAGTCGCAGTGGAAACGCCATGGACGTAGAAGGGTCGTATTGAGGACATAGAGAAAACGTACTGAACACAAGACTGCAGAGCCCCGGACCGTCTGCGAGAGAAATTTTCTGCGAGAGAAAATTTGGAAATTTGAAAGAAAAGCAACGATTTTCGAAAGAAAAATGCTATTTTACTAGTTTTCAGGTCGCAGTAAGGTCGTGGTTTATGTGTGAGGGCAGCATTAACTTTATATTAGTATTAAGAATTTATGAAAATTGCAACATCCTGTTTCAACTGATACAATCACAAAACTCACTAATATCATCATTGTTTTTATTTCACAGAAAGATTTATCTGGCGACAGATGTATGTGAGTAAAGCGTGAAATTATTTCTTTAAACACCATCCCGTGTTTCGTTCATTTTAGAGTTATAAAATAAAATAAAAAACATTCTGTAAATAATGATTATGTCAACCTCAAATACCCTTTCGTGGAAAAACAGCAACTGTCATTTTGTGACTTTATGACACAGCTAATAATTGTTCAGTTAAATTTTGGTTGGTAATTTATTAATCATAACTACTATTATTAACTATTTCTAGATATTGCAGTTTACTCTGTTTGTCGTTATCAAGGCTACCTGTCAGATCATTCATGTCAGCAAATAGTTGCAAATCTGCTACGTATATATATGTTTAAATATCAACTCTCTGCACTTCTACTTATCAGGGGAAGTAATCGCTGCAGGTTTGCTTACTAGCGGCCATTGATAGGTTGACAGACATGTACTTTCCATCTAAATTGTTAAACTAAATTGATAATGTGTTGTCTTGAAATTAATCTAATTACCTGTTTCTTTTTTGTTTTCATTATATAGCGTATGCATGTTGTTTCTTAAGAAAATATATTAGTTCATTGCATAATAATTGTTCTCTTTCCATCGTATATGTATCGTTCAATATTATATCATATACATGTATATGTATTATTCATTATAAAACACTAGAAACTGTACAGTTTACGTGTAATAAAATCTGTTCTGTTCTATATTCTCATTTTAGAAATATATTTGTAATTGTTAACTATGGCTTATGAGGCATAATTTGTGTTTGTGTCTGCAGTGACTTTGAAGGATTTTGTATGAAAGTCAGATACTACTTTGTTTACATTTTACTGCATAAATGTACTTTCTGACAAATAATTTCACATTCATACTGCTTTTTCCATGTGTTAAGAATCTTAAATATTCTAAAACATTTTTAAACACCTTAATGCCCTTTCAAAACAATGAAATAATATTCATTTCTAACGCATAATGCGCCTTTAAAATATATTTAAAATGAAATACAATATTTACTTTTCTTTAGTATAATTATCGCCTAAGCTGATCTATGTTTTTTTTCTTTTGAACCTCAGTTGAGTTTGACAAAAGAAGTCACATTATTTGCATATTTCTTTTACAAAAATATGTATATGTGTATGTACGCTTTCAGATTGTTATCTACTTCGCAGTCTTGTTATAACAGGATAGAATCGCAACAACAACAATAAAGTTAACGTTTGGTTTAAACATATTTATTCAATATATTTACATTATGATGAACAATATTTACACAATACATTTGGGATTGGGCAGAAAGCTATGAAAGCTTATGAGTGTCCTGTCCCAGTTTAAACAATTTACATATATACAGTTCATGGCATTATTATGCACAAAATTCATTTAGTTGAAAATATATCAAAGACATTTTCAAAAAATATGTATTTTGCAATTAATAAATACTTAATATATGGTCATGAGAGAAAAAAAAGCAAAAGAAAAATGAAACAAAATGGAGGTGAAAAAATAAATTATTGTATGACAAATTAATTTAGTTAGAAGTCGCCGTTTCATTTTCACCTAGGAATGTGCAATCGAAAAGACACTGTTTATTAACGGAGACAAAAGAATGTAATAAGAATCTTAATTGATAGTTATAAAGTACAATTATGTAATTACGAAAAAAACAACAACAAAAAACTACCAGCTAATATTGACAAAAAAACCAAAAAAATTGAGAAAGAAAAGGAGTGGTGGATGAACAATAATAAAGCAACAGGAGTAAACAAAGATGCATTATATAGTAACTATGTATGTTTAGATGAACAAGCGTAAGTAAGACTTGGGGTACGCGCTAAAAGCGCTTCGTTTCTCGGATGTATTTTTGAACAGCTGTAAAGATAGATACATTAGACTCGTAAGATAAAGAAGTGTTTCCAGTAAGAATGACATTTAAAGAAGGATTACAAAATTGGGAAATAGCCGTTATTAATTCAATAGCCGTTATTAATTCAATAGCCGTTATTAAGTTATTAAGTTAACGTTTATACGTCTTTCCTCCCTGAAGCAAAATGGTGAAAACGTAAACATTTTAATTGCGGCATAGCTATGAATAAGTGGTCACATTAAAGATGACTGCCATTCAAAATTCAAGTTTAAAGCAGGATTTTCATATTTCAGAGATTTTTTTTTCTTTTTCTAATAAATAAATGAAATAGCAAACAACATTCTTACTTTGAAATTATGTCATACAAGTTACAACCGCATCAAAACCTCTATCTATTTTAATATATGTTATAATGTTTACTAATAATGAAAACAAAGTTTTTATTTCGTAGAAGTACATACTGAATAACCGAGATTCAAGATTCAAGTGTATGAAAACTTCCCGATCTACTTTTTACAGTGAAGTACTTTCCATGTAATTTCAATTCAAGTTTCAATTTCAATTTCTTTATTTTCCACTCATTTCATGTTAAACATGACATAAGGCGGCAAAAACTAATACAACTTCACAGTTAGACATGCAAATATACAATGCAAATAAGAACGTTTCCCAGTCCGAGGACACAACATTTTTATATCAGTCACAAGTAAAAATGGCATTAAGAAGTGTTTGTGTGTGTGCGTGCGTGCGTGCGTGTGTGCGTGCGTGCGCGTGTGTGTGTGTGTGTTTTCTAACAGGGAGCTAAACATATATCTGTGTTTCCAATAACGCTAGATAATGTTTTTTTTACAATCCCCTTAACAAATATACAATATTTTCTATATTCAATATGATTTTTAGTACTGTTATTTATAATTCTTCTGTTCCTCTGAATGTTGCGGATAAATACTCCTAACACATTTTCTAGTCAAGCCATTTAACACAGAACATTCAAGTATGTAATGGTATTCATCAACGATATTCGAATTACATAATGTACATATTTTTCGCTGTATGGGACTCTGCTCCAACTTCCGGTTACTGAATGGTTTACATTATATCTCACGACTGTAAGACGAACTCCTTACAGTGATTACCTCCCTTTGTAGACTGTACTGATAAGGGGAAGTCACTGCGTAGGAGATTGGATCACTAAAAGGTAAAATAAAGGTAAAAAGCCTTTGATAGTAAATTTTAGTATTTTTACCATAGTAAAGAAGCAAAATTTACACACGCTAAGAATTTACTTAAACTTTGTATGAAAAATCATGATTTAAACAAATTTCTGAAAAAAATTATTTCCCTTCTTTTTTTAGTTACATGTATATGCCTCTGGAAGTGAGTTTTTGCTCTTTTAACAATATATCTCAAAATCAAACACACTTGCTTTTATTTCATATATTTTCTGTTGCTTCATTTTTGGTTAAAATGCAAAGTTTAAAACAATTATTCTAAATTTATTTTGATTTGCTTCATTGAGTAGATTTAACATACTGCATATTTCTTCAAAAAAGGGACATTACTCGAACAAAAATTCTATCATTTCGCACAAGCAACTATAGTGAAAAATCTGTAGCATAGAATTTCAGCAAAGTTTGCACCATGATAGGGTACAAACTTACAAACATTAATCTAAAATCAAATTAGCTTTTGTTTAATATAGTTTTAAGTTATCTACCATTGTTTAATATAGTTTTAAGTTATCTACCCTTGTTTAATATAGTTTAAAGTTATCTACCCTTGAAAATGACTTATGTGAGATAAAATATTAATCAATTACAACTTAATTCTCGCGTTTACGTTACACATGTGCTTGAGTGAATAATGGTATCTGTCTGTCTGTCTGTCTGTCTGTCTGTCTGTCGTTACTGGGTGATCAGGACATTAAGTAATATAATTATCATATTTAAGTATTAAATTTATGCCCCCAGGATAATATATTATTTATCTTAGTTATTATCATAATATAAAACGTTTTTTATCAAAAATGAGAATTGACTGAATCATGACAGAGAAGTGTTTCGGGATGAAAAGCTAATGAGATATTGTAACAAGTGATATGCTAAAAAATGATAGTTATTTGCCTACAGCATTATTTACTTCAAACAAAATTAAATAAGTATTCTTTCTTTTTTTAATTTATGCTGTGGGCAAGTCGCTTTAAACCCTGTATAGTTTTTTTTTCGCATTTTTTTCAGAGTTACTCGACCGTGAGAACTTAATATGATAATTGTACTCGGTTATTTTTATCGCACTGTCAAAGTTGAGAAAACATCTCGCGTCACGATTGAGTAAAAACCTATTGTGTGAAATGAAGAGTAAAATTATGTACGCCATTATATAGGTTTCGTTTTTAAATGAACAACTTATATGACATGTATATATATTTTCGTTTATAATTCATCAACTTTACCAAACGTGCTTTCTGATCAACAGAAGGTTAAAGACTGAGAGTTAAAAAACAAGGATATTGCATAAAAGGACTTTTTACAAGGTAGGCTAACTTACTTATTTTGGTAGCAAGATGTAAAGACTGGTAAATTAATCGGGTGGTAATTTTTTCAATAATATTTTATTCATATTAAAGGTACAAGGTTTGTTTACAAAAATACCCTGTTTGTAGCGTCACGACAAAAACAACATGGCTTTGCGACCAGCATGGATCCAGACCAGCCTGCGCATCCGCGCAGTCTGATCAGGATCCATGCTGTTCGCTATCAGTTTCTCTACTTGTTATAGAGTTTGTAAGCGAACAGCATGGATCCTGATTAGACTGCGCGGATGCGCAGGCTGGTCTGGATCCATGCTGGTCGCAAACGCATTATGTTGGTTTTGTTGTGACACGGCTCACCCTGTTTGTAGCGTCAACTTTTGACAGTCTTAGAAGAGACACATGTTATTTTCTTTACATAATATAACAAATGATGTTAATTTGAAACTCCGAAAAAATGATAACTATAAATCAGGTTGTTTCAATATTTTATTTAAAACATTAACGTTATTAACGATATTAATATGAATGACACCGATAACAATCAGATTGTAAATATCTCCAAACTTTTATTTCGTCAGTTTTTTCCCCAATATTTACACTTGAATTCCTTATATAATATCTCAGTAGTACATTATGGGTTCCATATTTTATTTTGGGTATGTAGTATTAGTATAAGGTGTACATGTATGTATACATTTGTTAATCTTTCAATTAATAAAGTACAAAATTTAAGTAGACGTTGTATTAAATTCAAACCGCGGCTTAAAATGACTAAGGTTACTGATAATATTATTAGTTTAAATTTTTGACAGGATATATGTTCCTATATAAATGGTTGGTTGAAAATAAAGGCGAGGGTTATATTGCAAATAACCGTTTATGTAGGGTCATATAACCTGTTAGGAATATTTATAAAGATGTTTTATACTGCAAACTTCCTTGTTTATAGAAAACAGTATAAACATCACGTTTAGCAATCAAACGTGCAGTATTACATTAATTGTATGATAGTTTGGGGACCTTTCTGTTGAAAATGTGTCAGAGTTAAATCGTATGCAAAAACAGATATTAGATACCTGCACTCCAGAGCATGCCCATAGATTGGCTCATTTTTGTTATGGTTTACTTATTGTGACGACAGAGAAATGGAAAGCGATAGAAATATCATATTCAAATGCTCGTTCATCGGTAACTTTTGTTCTAGGGCTTCATATTGTGACAACAGGGAACGTGTTTTTTATGTTTGACTTATACAATATAGAAAGAACATCAAAATACTCGGCAATCTGATAAATACTCGGGGGTTACGCCAGATAGTAACTGTATATAATTTGTAATTTTCACTGTTTACTAAAATGTCAAAGTCACCATAAAAGGATGAAACTTATTTTATTACCTTATTTATTGTAAACAATCAATAAAACACCTCTTATGCTGCAGACTGAGTATTAAAATAAGCAAATTTTACGTGAAATGTCTGTTAATTTATGGATTGAAAAATCATTAACCATGTACTTTATGGAAAGTCATAAAATCACAAAATCCTAGACATGTGCATGTGTATTTAACCACAGTGCTTGTAAAACAACAAACCGTTTTTAGCTCGACTTTTCTATGAAAAGGGGAGCTATCCTACTCGCCCCGGCGTCGGCGTCGGCGTCGGCGTCGGCGTCGGCGTCGGCGTTGGCGTCACACCTTGGTTAAGTTTTTCGTACCACCCCACTTTATTTCAGAAGTATTACAAGTATGGCTTTGAAACTTACCATACTTGTTCACCATCATAACCTCCATCTACAGACAAGAGTACATAACTCTGTCAAGGTTTTTGACAGAATTATGGCCCTTTTTTGACTTAGAAAGTGTATTGAGCTTGGTTAAGTTTTTTGTACCACCTCACTTTATTTCAAAACCATTGGAGGTATTGCTTTGAAACTGACCATACTTGTTGACCATCACGACCTTCATCAACAGACAAGAGGACATAACTCTGTCAAGGTTTTTGACAGAATTATGCCCCTTTTTGACTTAGAAAATACATTGAATATGGGTAAAATCCACTTATTGCCTTAACCCTTTGAGATATTGCTTTGAAACTTTTAATGCTATTTCACATCATTACCCCCATCTGTACGCAAGAGAAGGTAACTCTGTCAAGGATTTGTTTTAAAAATTAAGGCCTTTTATCGACTTAGAATCTTGGTTAAGTTTTTAGTACCAGTCCACTTTTTGACTGAACTGTTTGAGATATTAATTTGAAAGTTGGAATACTTGTTTACAATCATGATTCCCAAACATGTCCAGGAGAAGGTAATTCTGTCAAAGATTTTATTTGAATTATGGCCCTTAACTGTCAATGTTTTGTATTATAGGCAAGCACTAAAAAACTTAAAAAATCTAAAAAAATTCATTCCTATCCACTTGTTCACTTTACCATAAATTATGTCATATAAACATTGCTGTAATATTCAAGGGTATCAAACAACTAGTTATTTTTCTCTTTTCAGCCATTCTCCTATAATTGAAGCACTTTTTAATAATTCCTGTCTCCACTTTTAAAATCGTAGTAAAATGTACAGACGAGCTTAATCCTTTGTGACAAACATTTAAATAAGTACACTGGGATGTTCTCAGCAGCTTAACTTAAATTTTGTAGCGTGGATGCTCCTCGTTTTTCATTTGTGTTAAACTTAAAAGCTATAGTAACTGCAAAAAGCGCTGTCGCTTGACCAATTAAAGTTTTAGATTGGTGAAAAAAACAATCCATTTCTATGTTTTCCAACAAGTTTTTGCCTAAAATCAATACAGTATTGATAATAGATTAAGAATTACATAAGAAGTTCGAGACAGAGACCCTTATTTTCCATGATTTTCTTTAAATGCTGCCGTCGCCGAAATGCAACTATGGTACCGTAACGATTTTAAACTGGAATGTAACGATCTTGAGATGCGTTATATTCTTTTAAATTTGTACTCAAAACAATATCAAAAGACTATATTTGGAATAAAATTGATAAATTAGACTCCTGCGATGATACATTTTAACACAAACCGTTTTATTGTAAATAATTCAAATGTCGCGTTTAAAATGCTATGCCTCCGTAACGGGCGTATACTTTTAAATATACATTATACCAATCAAATAAAAATTTTAAAATATTGTTTTGTATTTCTTTAAATGAAAAACACCAAAATGAGATGTCGTTTGCACAAAAATATGATAATTCTGACCCGTAGAAGTCGAATTTCACTATGTTTCCATAACGACTATTTTCCGTAACAAAACGATCATCGGAATATCGGTACAGTATACGGTTCAATTGACGGTGTGACTTTTTTGCCTATCACCGCTCCCAATGATACGTCACTAACAGGTATGGATGCAACATCTTAATTGACTTTTATGATACAATGAGGCAACTGGAGGTAATTGGCAATCACTGTACTTTATTTATGCAACCACTGTTTTTGATTTGATAACGATGTTTTCACAATTATGTTACTTACACGAGAAATTTTACTGATACAAATCGATTGCAAGCTTTATTTTCAGCAAACCACAGAGTCAAAAGTAGCAAGTTGATGCTATTTATAATTTTTTTACCTGTTTGAAACATTTGTTACGGAACATAGTTGATTATTTTGAGATCATAATCTGATGTCATATATGTACTTTATCCATATTTATTTAACAATTTGAAATGAATGATTGGTTTCAAACATGGAACACATATTTCGATGAAAAAGAAGTGCACAGATTATCAAATAGTCAAAGGCAATTTGTTACGGAAGCATAGTCTTCTATCATCTGTTTTTAGCACCATAATACATATATTCAGTTTGTTTATAAAAACTGTTCCAGTGTGTTTTTTCATTATAAAGATATATGAAAATGGTGTCCAATATTAACTGGAAGTCTAACATGATTTGTATTGTGTTGTAAGGTTGCAGTTTTCCGTTACGGAACATATCAAATTTGTTACGGAACATAGCATTCATAAATGCTATGTTTGAATATGATTTTTTATGTTTTTTTACTATTTATAAAATACCAAAATTGTATCATTATGTCACTTACATTATCTAAAAGTTTTAGAATTACAATTATCATGAAAAAAGTAATATTAATAATGATATTAATGTAATAATGATAAAAATGATGATTATTATGTAATTGTTATATTAATAATAATCATGACAAAAGTAATTATTTTAATGATGTTCATGTATCAAGGTTAATAAATTTATAATAAGCAACGATTTTCTATTTTAGAATGGTGCTTTTAACAACAGAAATACAGGAGACTAAGCAGAGAGGGGAAAACAACAAATCATTTAAAAGAGAAAGAAAGCAGAAAAAATTATGTTCCAATTCAAAAAAGAAAAAGCACTGGTGAAGAAAATGTAGAGGAAACTACATGAAACGTTATAACATTACAACAAATTTTGTGTAAATTAGGCAGAAATAAAGCAAATAAAAGTGAAAAAAAAGAATTCTTGTTCATTTTCAGTGAAAAACATGATATTTTATTTTCCATAACATATGTTCAGTAACAAATATCTTTTCCTTCACCACTCACTTAATTAAACTGTTGATGTTATTTTTAATTGATACAGTGTTTTATGATTGATGTTGTTTGTGAAGATACCACATTTAAATTGTTTAAGTAATGTTAAAGAGTGAAAATATTGAGTTATAAATCTTATGTTTTATAATTTTTCACCTATGTTCCGTAACAGATCACAAGGTCTGTTTGATGATCATTTGTGAGGCGAAGTTTTTTGGTAACGTTACACAGATTAAAAGTTATGCTTGATTTGTTTTCTGCTTCTTTTTTAGATATAATTAGATAACTTTTATGACAGTATTTGTTTGTGCATTGTATCGAAACGATGTCAATCTTAAGTTACGAAAATATTTGCTTATACAAGCTTTTCAAATACGAAGTATGCAAGTTTCAGAATAAGATATGGCATAACATATTTTTGCTAAAGGTAACCATTGGTCTTCAACTTTACAATGCATATTCTTTTGGATTGTTTAATTTAAAATCTTAGTAAAACAATACCTCCAAAGTAATTCCTATGGTATATATATGTTCCGTAACAATGTAATTCAGTAACTAACTTCAAAAGCTTTCAGTATACAAACGGAGCGAATGGTGTGAGTTAAACTTCCACACAATCTGTCCAAGGTATTGAACATTAAAAGCAAATCATAGAAAACGTTGTTTATGAAAGTCAGATTTTTCATTTTTTGTGAACCAAAAGTGCTTCAATTATGGGAGAATGGCTGTTTTTGTACTTGAAATTAAAATCAGTAGTATAATACTATTAAATTTATTTAAGGCTCAACTCAGTTTTTTTTTCTTTCTTACCAGCCCTCTTTTGACTTAAACATTTCAAACTTTGCTGCAGTGTTCAAGGGTATCACACAGTTCAGTAAAATAATTCTTCACTAAATATCTTAATGCTCATGGCCATTGTTCACTTTAAAAATACAGAGATTCTTGTATTGCCTTTTACTGCAAAAACTTTTTTTATTGGCAAGCAATAAAAAAGTCGAGCGCGCTGTCTTACGGACAGCTCTTGTTATAAGCTCGACTGTACAAAGTATATGGAGAGCTGTCCTCCACACCCGGCGTCGTCGCCGCGTCTGCGTCCAAATTTCAGATCAAACTTTTTATGCAGTAAAACATTTTTTCACAATCACTTTTTTATTTCTTAAGGTATCATCATCAAATGCAAATCAAATATATGTTCCTTATCATCAACAATATCTTTTGTGACAAGGGTCATAACTCAATATTTTCATAATTATCTCCTCATATTTCTTTCTTAAAATATTGTTCTTTATTCCTAATTCTTTATTACTTAAGGGATCAACTTAAAATATATGTTCCTTATCAACAGTTACATCTTATGTGATAAGTATCATAACCCTAAAGCAATATTTTCAGAATTATCCCCCTTAATTCTTTTTAAAAGATATCGATCTTTACTCTTACTTCTTCATCAACTTAAAATATATGTTCCTTATCAACAGACACATCTTATGTGATAAGTATCATAACTCTAAAGCAATATTTTCAGAATTATCTCCCCTTAATTCTTTTTTAAAAATATCGATTTTTACTCTTACTACTTTATCACTTAAGGGATAAACTAAAAATATATGTTGCTTATCATCAATCACATCTTATGTGACGAGGGTCATAACCCTTGAAGCAATATTTTCAGAATAATTTCCCCTTATTTCTTCCTTCAAAAATAACATTTTTACTCTTACTTCTTTATTTCTTAAGGAATCATCTTAAAATATAGTTTCCATATGCCACACGATTGTCAACCGTAGCACCAATATCTCCAGACTTATTTCACACGAATCTAGATTTTTTCCTGAAAAAAAAAGTTATTTTTTTCCTAATGTCTTTATTTCTTAACTTTGCATTTATGTTCCTTATCATCACCCACGTCACATGTGACAAAATTCATAACTCTACCATAAATATGCTATCACCGCCCTTCACTTTTGAACTTGGATTTTTTTTATAAAAAAAATGTTATTGTTGACTCTAACTTCTTTACATTTTGAAAAAAATATTTAACTTTAATTTAAGTTTCATATCAACTCACATATATAAATAATATGACAAGCTTCATAGCTCGAATTGACTTTCCGTTAACCTTACAATCTTCCTTTTTTGTAACTTCTTTATTTCCTCAAGGATTTAATTCAGACTTCGGCAATATGTTTGTTATCAACACTTGTGATAAGATTCGTAAGGCTAGCTTCTGTATTTCCAAGATTATCTCCATTTTTAAACTTTACAAAAATGTGATATTTTTTAGTATTGCCTTTGTTGTTGTAAATGGTATCTACTATATTTATTTATTTTTATTTTTTCTTTATTTTTTATTTCCTCGCCATGCCATGTTGGTAGTTATTTAGAAATCGGGGTGGTGTACACTCATGACATTGATAGGGAAATTTGCGTAGATTGTTGAATTTCAACATACCTCGTGTAATCATATGTGGTTTGTCATAATATCTTAAAGTGGATTGATCTACAATGAACTCATTTGTATAAGTTTTTTTCTAATATTGATAAAAACAATAGAACTGTATCATTTGTATATTCTTATGAAATATTACAAATATTTAGATAATGATAAATATCTAAGAGATTTTGTATGAACATTTATATGATGAATAAAAACATTATGTTCTGGATATATAAATGCATGTATTATCGGATCATGTATCTCATTCTTGTCAACAAAATCTATATATATAATTCGTTCCTGTCTTGTTGTTATGACTGATACTAATACTATCAACAAATTATTTAATTGTATTTCAGATTTTCAATTACAGACCAATTCACTTTAAAATCGTTGTGATGTTTAGTGTGTCTTTGTTTTACATTTTAAATACCTATGACGAATTTCAAAGGCCATATGGTGACTTGCAAATGCTATACTAGTATAAGAAATTCTTAGGTGCCCATTCATGTTTTTATCAGGCACGAGCGGGCACTCGAGCAGAACCATTGATCTTACGCAAGGTAGCAAATAGAGACTTCAAAGTCAGGTATTTTTACTTTTGATTATAGCATTGTCGTTAATAAAATTTCAAAGTTAAGTAACACAACTTGATCAATCAATATACTATTTATGCTTCCATTTATTTCAGGATACATGGTTTGTCTGAATGCAGACATGATGAGAGCTTCAGTGGCTTTGTTCTTGTTCCTGCTGACACGGACCGTCGCTCTACCGACCAAAGATGGAATAAATAACACGACGCAACCTAGTACCACGAAACCTAGGACTGCCACCATTATCAAACCTCCAGCACAATCTATTCTTCCGACGGTTAAGAATGACCTGCCATTATCACCACGTGTAAATACCACCACCTCAACAACAAAGCCTCACACCGCAACAATATTAAAACCAAAGGCAATAACGGAATCACCGCCATCTAACTGGACTAATGTATCTCCGGTAGTTGCTTCCATTGAATCTTTAGACGGACAGCAACCATTTGAAGTGCCATACGTTGCTGCTTCTATATTGAAAAACTGCGAGATTTTACCCGAGGACCCTGAAATCACATCACGTATAAAAGAGACTCTAAATAGTGGATCGAAAATGATCAAATTTAGTTTGCATATTAAACACGAAGAAAGGCGTTTCCATGGTTACAACGAAAGCAATATGTATAAACCCTTCTACTGGGTTCGATCCACCGGACGCCATGGGACTGGCCTTTTACTATTAAGACCAGAATACGATGTTCTGTCTTTAACCACTCTAGAGCTTGGTGTAGAAACAATGCACGTGAACGTTACTGAAAATCCTAGTAATTGCCTCAGCCAGCTTGCATACACGGACATAGAGGTGCTGTTTAGGGAGCTAGTTATGAACGACTTTCAAAATACAAGTTCCGGTGAAATTGTAAAACTGAAACCTACGGACCATGTCTGTAACATGCACGTGACGGATAATGAAGGTGTTGCGGATTTCAGATTTCTATGTTGTCAAAGAAGCGAAACTAATCATATAAGTTGCAGTTACCTACAATCTGACACATGGCTCAATGTTCTATTCTTCGTCATTGTACTGTTGAAAGTTATCGTGGTTTTGTTCAGTCCAAGATTAATACCCGATTCATTCTATCGTCTGAAACATATAGCAGCTCCTTATATACACAGATTGGAAAAACCTCTTTCCATAACTACTGTTGTAACAACAGATCCTAAAAGATACACAAACGTAAAGAACCAGTTTAAATTGTCAAAATTCAGGGAAATGAAGAACTTTAAGACAACATTGCAAAACCTGACACTCGATTTACCTTATGAACTTAAAATGAATCAAGTTCATCTTCGGGTTAAAAGTGGGCGTTTGCTGCCAGAGGATTCTGCGCCAGTTGGACTATTTCGGACAATGCATGAATCTTTTTTCAAGTGTAAAATTCGCGAAAGAGCTGCTCTTGCAGAATGTTGTAATTCCAACTTTTTCACGTTTTCTTATTGTCATAACAAAACCACATCTTGGTATACGGTTTTAAAACGTTTCATGGCAGCGGTTCTGCTTATTTTTCTGGCTACACCTTGGATTATCCGAATGTATGTTTACTTTCGATTTGAAGACGCAGAAATGCATATGCGGAAACAATTTGCAGCCGAAAAATCACTACGCTTCTATTTCCCGGGAAATTTTACTCTATTACTTACACCCTTACATGTTTTGTTCGTCATCATATACATTCTCTTGTGCTTCGAGTCCTGCATATTCGGTGTTATGAGTCGTAAGATGAAAGAACAATTCAAATTCGTTCTCCGGAAGTGCTTCAGGGACATGCGTGAAATGAAACAAATGGACGTAATTGGTTGGCTAGTTAGGATATCCGTGAAACCATGCACAATGTTTGGTGGAATTGGAATTTGTGTTGGACTTATATCATGGACACTTACACTGCCGTTTTTGTTTCTTATCCTATCGTTCTACATATTTCCAACTTTAAACGTTACATTGCGGCTTCTAGCTCATTTTGCGGTGTATCTTTTCCCAAAGAACGCGTGTAGTGAGATAAGATTATTTGCTAGACTTTCAAAATACATTATCAGTATAGAACAAAGGCTAGATATGGAACAGATTGCTACAGCTGAATCGTTAGAGAAGAACGAATCAGTTTTGAGGTCCGGGTGGAAGAGATTCCAACAGTTGATCATTATATTATTGTGCCTGCTGTCCATGTATTCAATAATATTTCTGATGACAGAGTTCGTGTCATTCATTGTGGAAATATTCGTTTATACTTTAATGGGCCTCATTCTAAATGCATCAATGACATTAACATATATCTCACTAGTGTTCCTACTCTGGGTTTACGGAAACGACTGCTTTGGTGCTGTTAGTAAAAGATTTCTTGCATTTAACAAGACGATGAATGCTGCAATTCTAGAACTTGGTAAGAAAAAGGTTGAAAATGAAATTTATTTAGATGACGAAAAACAGGAGAACATTGCATTTAGAGTGAAGACTGAGAGGGCGGAGAAAGTCGAAAATCCGGTACAACTTGTAACAAACGCGGACTGTTTACCACGATGGGAAATTTCAAGACTTGTTTTGTTCCTTAGTAAGAATGACCGGCCTATGATTCCAAAGACCTTTTATTTCAAGTCCTGTAAGATGCCGTTCTACAGTGTTCCCGGAGAACTTCTGATGAATTACTTAAAAGCAGCAAGTGAGTTTGGAATGATTTTATTATTCCTTATGTTTGTTCTTGTTGTCGTTCTCGCGTTTGGAGACACTTACGAGATTTCAGCTACCAATAAAATGTTTGCTACAATCGCTGGGGGATTTTTGCCATTTATGTTAAGAAACATTGTGTTTAAATCACATGCTGTACCGACTGTGGATAAAGACAATATGCATTTTCAAGTATGTCTACACGGCTTGTTAGATGACCACAAGCAGACGTGGCCAATTTACGACATTGATGTCGTAAACAGACAGATTTTGGTTGATAGTAAGTCTGAAAACGGAAATGGGAGCGCTGTAGAAACAACTGATATTGAAACACCAGAAACAAACCCATTTATTGACAATGGCAGCCATAGAAACGGTAAGACAAATAATGAAAGTATTGATTTATTGATAAATATTGCAAGTGAAATAGACATTGACGATTTTCCTGGAATGAATGATGTCAAACACGGACGGGCTTATAATGGATCTACTTCTTTACTGGATGATTTGGAACCGGAAGAAAAAGAGATGCGTGAAATTCTGAAAAATGTGTAAAATAGTATTATAATAATGTGTAGCCTAAGTTGACAAAAATAAATCTGTGAAATGTATTAAAATAGTAAAGTACACAAATAACAAACAAAAAAGAACTATTAAGATTTTTTAAAGTGTGGTCATTATTTAAGAACTTTCGCCTTTCTAGTTTCAAGGTAATTTGTTTAACTGCAAACTGTACAGGAACTCTCTTATTCTACTTTCTGTCAACTATTAGTTATCGTCTTAATGCAGCAATTTCAATATCTCTGCTCACTATTTTATTACTTAACAAGGCAATTTTATGGACCGAGATTCCATAACTCATTCTAAATGCATCAATGACATTAACATATATCTCACTAGTGTTCCTACTCTGGGTTTACGGATTGATGACTGTTTCAATACATTGAGATTATTGTAATTTAAGTACTAGTGTCAATATATTTTATTACTGTACACATTTAAATCTCTACATAGTTGGCAAATGTCGAGTTTTTACTTTTAGTAATCAATGTATCATTAAAGCGGCGAATCCGAGAAAATATATGAAAATATATGATATAGATGTAAAAGGTAACATAGTTACCTACATTGATTAGTAAATAAAGTATTTGTAATATGGCAGGGCAGGTATTTGAGGAAACATTTTAGTTTAAGGAAGAATATACTAGTAATAGGTAACAGAAACAAATTCATCAGTCAGGCAAGCTTCAAAACATTTCTGTGATATATAGATGATTATTTCATCCTTCAGTTTGTTTAAGGTATTATTATTGATTTATTATCATAATAACATGACATCATGTATTACAGAACGACAGAAACGTTATTTTTGTGTACTTGTTATTGGAGTGTCTATAATAAAACCTAATTATGTTTATATAACATTTGAATAGTTCATTTCCGTCCTAATGATGAAATAAAAAAACGCGCAATTGTAATTTTTCTTCTTTCATTAGCGAGAAAAGATCACAGCATACATATAAAGAATGAAACTACGGTCAGTTTTCAGACGCAAATATGTTAAAAATATAAGATAAATTGAAATCTTATGACGTCATTAAATTATTTGTAAGTATGAAGTTATAGCCTAGTGACAAATATGTTTTGTTTAAATAAAAACAATTAGGAAAGTGTTTTTTGTATTCATTTGATGTACTGTTTTTATGCCCTGCTATTGTACTAGTAATATATGAATACTGTTAATATATTTGTTTTTATATGCATGTAACTTATTTTATGTTTACTTACATACAGTTGTATCCCAATGACAAATATGTAAGGTTGAACTAAGGTTGAAGTTATTGAAATGAAACTAAATGTGAGTGTAAATTTTGTATTCATATACATTCTCATATCCTACTTATTTTACATATAAATTGTTGTTTCATCTTTTAATTCGTTTAGTTTTTAGAATATTTTTATGAGATATAGGTGTATTATTTAGCAGAAGAATTTTTGTGTACAATAAGTCTTTTAATAAAAATGATGTTACTAAGATGTTGATAGCTTTTTTTCGCTAAACATTTTTAAGTATAGGTTTTTACCTTGTAGAAAGTTAAAAAGTTTATTTAGATAGTTGTATTTATATTAAACAGACAGCTGACAACTTGTAAATGTATACTGTATTTATAAATAGCCTATCACGTCATCTTTACATTTGTCTACATATGTTGAATATGATTTGACTTCTATGATCCGATATTATCATTCTCTATGCATGTGTTTAATGTATTTTCTTACTGCTTAGCTAATTTTAGATGTTTAACAAGTTGTTTTAATAAAATGTCAAACATTATATTCTAATTAAAATGTAAATACATGTATTGTAATTTCCGAGTCTTTTATTAGCTTAACTTTTAAAAGAATAAGAGCTGGCGAGGGCGTCACCCTCACGCTTGGTTTATTTTTGCATGCAAGTTGGCATCTCCAAAACTACTGAAGAGACTGGGTTGAAACTTCACATACTTGTTCTCTGTGATTATCTTACATGATGGGCACAGGGCCCACAGCTGAGTTACTTTATCACAGCCATGTCCCTTTTCCCAGTGATCTCAAAATCAATAGGGGTCATCTACCGATAATTACAAACCTCCATGCCAGGAAAAACCGACGGACGGCTGGACGACCGGACTGCCGGATGGCCGGACGGACAAACTGACCTTACAACTTTGTTGTGCGGGGGTAAAAAAAAATGTTTTGACATCGCACAAAGTAGATATGTTATGCTTTAAATTCTAAAACAATTATACGTTGACACACTATGTTTTTAGCTCGACTATTCGCAAAATAATCGAGCTAATGCAGTCACCTATTTGTCGGTGTCGGCGTCCGTGTGGTTAAGTTTTTGTGCGAAAGCTGGTATCTCCATAACTACTGAAGGGAATGGATTGAAACTTCACACACTTGTTCTCTGTAATTATCTTACATGATTGGCATAAGTCCAATAACTCTGATTTGCTTTTTTGCATAATTATGCCCCTTTTTCGACTTAGAAATTTTTGGTTAAGTTTTCGCGTACAAGCTGGTATCTCCATAACTACTGTAGGAAATGGATTGATACTTCACACACTTGTTTTCTGTGATAATCAAATATGATTGGCACAAGTCCCATAACTCTGATTTGCTTTTTTGCATAATTATGCCCCTTTTTCGACTTAGAAATTCTTGGTTAAGTTTTTGCGTGTAAGCAAGTATCTCCATAACTACTGAAGGGAACGGGTTGAAACTTCACATACTTGTTCTCTGTGATTATCTAACATGATTGGCACAAGTCCCATAACTCTGATTTTTTCCATAATTATGCACCTTTTTCGGCTTAGAAATTCTAGGTAAAGTTTTTGCTTGTAAGCTGGTATCTCCATAACTACTGAAGGGTTTGTGCCTTTTTTTTAACAATTTTATGCATTCATAATAATAAAGCAGTGATTAACTCGATAAAACATCTTTAAACAAGCCTTTGTACCTTTTCGGACAATATTATGTAAGCATTATTATACTCAATGAAACACACTTGTGACAACTTTTCGAAAAGTCGAGCGTTACTGTTACAGTTCTTGTTATATATATAGTATCATTATAAAAAAAATCCCTGGCAGTGTTTCAAAGAAAGGACCAGCTTTAACTGACCCGTTTTCAAGAACGGAGATTCCCACATTCCTTTATTTAAATAAGACATACATGTATTTAGTAAGAAGTTTATAAATTTCAATAAATTTCTGCAATAAAAATATTTTACTCAAAGATGAGCATAGTCTTTAAGCAAACAAAGATTGTCTAAATCAGGGCATAAAGTGTGTTTAGCTAACCTGAATTTGTTGAAAGTATATAAAAGTAAATGTTTATCATTGCAAAGATTATATTATCACATTTATTTATTTTTGTATTCAAGTGGCTTACATCACATAAAGCTGATTTATTGGGCAAAAATGGAGACTTTCAAAATGTGAATTCACTGCTTGATATGTTAGAGTGTCGTCATTAACAAGAATTAAATTGAGGTATGCATTTACCCATAACCTTCTGAATCCCTTAGATGGACTTGTCGAGCTTCTATATTTGGAACTGTCCATTATCAAATTGGGGATATCAAAATAAGATGGAAATTTTAAGTTTGTCAGACAACAATAACGAGCCTACCCCCATTGCAGAGCAAAGAAAATGTGTCGTGTGGCAGAGTTTCTTTTTTTTTTCAAATAAAGTTTCCCAGACTGAATTTTTTATACCACACTGAAACAGTGTTTTATTTCCTTTCACCTTTTGTATAATCTTTTTACTACTATTAATTTATAATTTATAAGTATTAACTATTTGTTACAACAATAACTTAGTAATATAAGAAATAAAACTTAACAAAAGAAACGTTTTACAGTTTAATAACAGATTTTATGACTTATTAACACACATCAATTTTAACAATACTTATATAAGACTCTATTTTATCTGATAATATAACCAAGGAAACTATCCAAAAATATCACTTTTATTATAATCCAAAATAAGTTCAATAAGGCCTTACAAACTTAGAACCTAAATAATTTCTGACTTGAATGCTAAATCATCTAAGCATATTTACAAATAAGGGAGGGGGTAATCAAGAAAAGCATATTAAGCATGTGGCGGGGAAAATAGAAAGGAGTTCACAATGTAATAATAAATTTCTTAGGAGTTTTCTTATAACTTAAACAAAGTCAGGAGCATGCTTAAATGACAAATGTTTCAATTTAACTTTACTATAATAGGTTATGAAATTATAAAGATATGTAAAGAATCAAAACATATTTAACTTGCGAAAAAAAAGAAAATCGCAAAATTTGCGACATGCCGTAAAAAGTTGATTTACCGACTGAAAAGGTGTATTAGAATAATCAAAATTAACTTTTGTTATTCAAAACAGCAACTGACAATTTTTGTAACATCCCTGCAGACATACTTTGTGTCCATTTGCACAAAAGTTAACTCCTTTGCACCAAAATACGTCATCGCAATGGATATAAGAACATGATATTAATAATAAAAATCTTAAAGGACTATTATGCCTCGGAAATGCTTCCAATTTTATTTCTCAAAAACTTTTTTTTATTTTGTAACAAAGTAATACTCATTTGCCAAATATATGGACTATCTATGGAACTATAGCTTTGTTGGCAATCGGTGTAATTATAGTGAATTCATTTATATTTTATATGTAAGTCAAACTAATACTGATAGTATGATTCAGGTAATTGGTCAATAAGAATTTTTTGGGATATATTAAAAGTACACCAAAACGAAATTCATTCATTTCATTCAAAATATAAAAAGCGTTTCCGAGGCATATTGGCCTTTTAGATCAAAATACCGAATAACGAGAGTTTCAGAGATTTAATGAGATGACATATGTTTATTCTATATCTTACCGGCCCTACAGCGAATATAGTGAAAATACAAACTGCGAATCCATTTAACCATCTGCAATGTATTAATGACTTTGTTAATATATATTTTTTCAGAATTTTAGATTTCTATTACCTAGAAAAAATCAAAAAAAAATCCAGAATTGTACTTGCAATGAAAATCTACGCAAATTGTTTAATGATACAATAATTTAAATTTTCTGTGTTATCATAGACATTTTTATGTAATTAAAGACCCTCCATCTGACACCGTATTATACGAAAGACCGATGGTGACATTTCAACTCTTTGAATTCTGGGATTCATCTTCACGAACTCACAAATTCAACTTCGTGAATTCACGATTTCAACTTAGTGAGAATGAAATCTTCAAATCGCGGAAAAAATATTTGTTTTACGAGCCATAATGTGCCTTTTAACCACTTGCAGTATGTAGATCTCTTAACCATCTCTTAACTTATGTTTATATGATTTTATACATCTTCGTTTCAGAATATCCTAAGCAGTCGCATAATTTTACAGCCACTCGCATTTCTACTAATATTTTACGCCGAAAATTCTCAATCAGTAATACATATGCCTTGGATAAGGATCATAAAATTCTACAAGACATCAACCCGTCCAGTTTGTGTTATATCATAAGCCGACACAATTTCGAAAGAACATAATAGAAATTGATTGTAAGAACACTTATAAACAAGAGCTGTCCGTGTTACTACAATACGCAAAAAGTCAAGTAGTTTGGCTTCCCTGATTTTAAGTGTACTAAAAATGACAGGATTTTGATGTGAACCAGCCCTTAAGTTCAAAATCGGCAAAACATCATTGATTTGATCAATTCAAACTACAATGTTGAAAGTGCGTTTGTTATTAAAATTACAATATCCTTTTTTAAGACATATTCATTTAATAAATTAGTAAATGTTTATGACAATCTAGGAAACACCTGTAACTTAAGTGTTAATGACATGCTATTATTTATCAACTTGATTTTATGTAGTTTTCCTTATTTCTTAAATGATCGTCATTAACTTTATTTAATTATTGAGGATATTCGATAATTCAATATAAAAAGACCACTTGCCCCTCACCGCTGTGGGTTCGAATCCCGACAGGGACCTTGGATTCTTTCATGTGAGGAAGCTATCCAGCTAGCTTACGGAACGTCGGTGGTTCTACCCAGATGCCTTTCGTGCCTGAAATAATGCACGGAAGGGCACCCGAGGTATTCCTCCACCAGTAAAGCTGGAACGTCGCAATATGACCTATACTGTGTCAGTGTGACGTAAAACCAAATCAAACAAACAAACAAAGTATAAAAAGAAATGAAACATCCTGTTTCAACAGTAGATACCATCACAAAATCCACTTACATCATTGCGACATCTGTATGGGAAGAAAGCGTGAAATTATTTCACATCATTCTGTGCCTCTCATTATTTTAGAGTTATAAATAAAATGCAAATCAAAGTTTTCAGCTAAATGATAAATTCAACCCCAAAGATATCTTTCAACCCCCAAAGATATCTTTTGAGGAAAAACAACAGCAATATATAACTGATTTAACCCTCGACAGATTCGTATCTGCCAAAGTAATTTAAAGTCTAGACGCAGCTCAGCTTGTAACTGATATACTTCACTTTAATCAACATGCAAAAATTAAGACTTTGTCGTTATTGTCATTTTCAGTCAGAACTTTGCAAATTCACGTATATGTATTTTAAGGAACAATTTTTGCACCATTGGTTTGGAAAAAGATTGTGGAAAATCAGAGAAAATTTATAAAACAGCCGAGAAAAGTGCTTTCTGTGAAGGAGTTTATGCACTTATTTTGAAGGAAAATCCATTCAGTTAAAGATATAAGATGCCTTTTACAGAACCTCCTCTCTGAAGAGTATTCAGTTTAGTTAGAATATTACTGGGTGGCATTT